ACCAACTTCCCAAAGTCTTGCGGCAATGAGGTGCATCTTCATCTTGTAGGCCTAATCGGTGTATCTTGTTCCATCAAAATGAGGTGGCTTGCCATGATTGACGGTGGGGAAATGCATGGGCGGACCTTTGATGAGTTGCCCGTAGTCAAAACCTATGTTGGAGTAGATTCCTCTACCATGACTATTTTCTTTATCACCTCCAATGTCACTTGTGTTGTCTTTGGTTGCATCATTCTTGCCACTTATAGTATCTTCAACCTTCTTGCTCAACTTTTCCTTAATCTTGCTCATCTCATCTTGCATTTTCTTCATTTCATCTTGGAAAAACTTTGCTTGCTCAGCCATCAACTCTTTTGCAATTTGCTTGGCCATCTCGGTGGCATCGGCTTTCATCTTTTCGGAGTCTGACATTATTTCTTCTCACGCGGTTAAGCGTTAAAAGAAGACCTTGCCTTGATACCAATTGAAAGGATCTAAATAATGCCAGAGGGGGGGGGGGTGAATAGACGTATCTAAAAAATACACAAACTCAAAGTCAAATGTTAGCAACTGTCGGAAGTCCCGATAGTTCGAGCCGAAACTTCCGACGCAAACAGCCGGGAGTTCCGACTCCTACATGGATTTTACTACGTGCTAAATGAACTTTGAGTGCGAGATTTTTTACAACCCCACTTCCAAGTGGTTAGGTAGACACGTAGAGTCACTCCCTTGATGCCAAAACGCTTCCACTCCATAGATCGAGTCCAAACCCTAAGAGGTGCTTGGAGAGAAGAGAAACAACCAAGAACAAATATGATAGCTCAAATCACAACAACAACAAGCACACGGGGACACAAGGATTTATCCCAAGGTTCGGCAACCCCACGAATGAACTCCTACGTCCTCGTTGTTGAGGTGACCACAAAGGTCGGAGTCTCTTCCACCTCCTTGCCTCTCTCAAGGCAACCACAAAGGTCACTTGAGCTTTTCACTAAGAAATCGAGGGTAATACAAACCTCCCAAGGCTCTTCTACAAGATGGAAGTTCTTGGGCGATGCCAGCCGGCTAGGGGCAAAGCCCTAAGAGAAATAGACGCAAATCCAACTGGCTTGACGAAGAAATCAAGTGCTCAAGCTTGCCAAAGTGATTCTCTCACTCAATTCACTCTTCTTTCACTCAAAACCCTAGGGAAATCAAAGTTGGGAGCAAAGGGGAGAGAGGAGAGGAGCCTTGAATGCTTAGGAGCTCTTTTGGACAGAGTTAGGTCGCAATGAATGAGTTGTTGACGGTTAGAAGAGAGGAGAGAGCTATTTATACTCATAGGTAAAATCTAACCATTCAGATCTACGTCAGAAGTTCCGACACAGATCGCTGGAACTTTCAGCGCCTACTAAAAACATTATTCACACTCGCAGACAACTGGGCTAACTCGGCTGGAGTCGGAACTCCGGGTGGCTACCAGGACTTTAAGCTCTCGTCGGGACTTTCGAAGGCCAGCCGAGCCTGGCGACTAAGTCCTAGGCCTCGGGACTCCCGGCGGGAGTCAGGACTTTCGACTATCGGAACTTCTAGCAAACTCTGGGACTTTCGACTATCAAAAGTCCGCAACCTATATCTAGGTGTTCGTGAGGTGATTTAGTGTCACTCTTTTGGTTTTATTTTTATGCTTGAGCACTCTATCTTCCTTAGACCACATAAACTTGCATCCCTCTTTATAGTACGGCGAACCTAAACCCAAAATAAGAAATATAAACTTTGGAGATCGCTTTGAGTTCGTCCATCTTTTATACTTTAAGCATTGAGGGACACCATTTCATCTAAGTCAACTCTTTTAAATCTTTCATGGGACTAAAGCTGTAATATATCTCATTAAGATTTCATTAGTCTCTAATTTGGATGTCATCAATACACCAAAACCCACATAGGGGCAAATGCACTTTCGAGTTTAATTGCTAGGATGGTCTAGCCGTGGTCGCATTTTAGGTCAACCTCCTTCAAATAGCCCATAGAAGCGTGTTGTTTTTATATGATTAAACTCTTCTTCTTAATACAATGATACACAAATATTTTGCTTATTTGAGAAAGGTTTCATCCCTTTTTAAGTCAACAACACAACCCAATCTCTCCTCGGCCAGATACCTTTTCATTCTGCTTTTGCCTACTACACCGATACCACAACTCATCTAAGCCATGGTGACCAACATGGAGAAAGGGACAACACGACATAGGGCTCGATAGGTGTGCGGTGACCACCGTGGAGGAAGGGACAATGTGAGTCAAAAGAAAGGGGGTAGAAGGTGGGGAAGCGAGGTGGAGAGAGGGAGGGAAGGAGGAGCATCGGTGAACAGAGGCGAGGTGGAGTGCCGTCGGGTGGAGAAGATGAGGAGAGTTGTACATGTGGGAGAAGAAGAAAAGATAGCGCATAGAACGAGATCAGGAGTTGAGGAGGTGAAAAGGAATAACCATTGACACGTGGGTTCCAAATGTAAAGGTGAACATAAGAATGATATTTTGGTTTTATCCTAAGTAAAAATATTTCAAGTTTTTTAAACTAAATTTATAGAGAAAATTAACAATATTTATAATACTAAATAGGTTCACTATAAAAATATATTACAACATGGTATATTTATTTGGTATCATAAATATTGACATGTTTTTGTATAAACTTACTTAAATATAAACATAAGATTGTTTGATTTAGGACAAAATGAAACACTATTTGTGAGCGGAGGCGGTAGGTTTTTGGTAGTATGTTGGAGGAGCGGGCAATAAAGCCAAATTATCAATAATAAGAAATCCTCTATATACCTTTTTAAGAGACTATTAATTAGTATATGGTAGGTACATTGCTACATGTCAACAGCTTTAAAGGTCATATCATGCAATACCACTAAGATATTTAGTGATGTGGAGGAGAGAAGGATGAGAGGAAGAGGTAGATGTCTTGTGAAATAATCACCTCATGAGAAAAAGAATTAGAACTATAAGACAGCTATTTCACCATTGTACATTTAGTGTTGCCATATGACTGACAAATTTTCTTTTATTGATTGCACAAATTAAAGATAATTAAATTACTATGCAACTTAAAAAACAACTATATATGAGTTGATTGCTTAATTTTAATAACCTTACGAGTATATGAGAGACTCGCTGTATGCGCCGTCAGCCCAGCCCGATGTAAACGGTCATAGCCAGCCCCGGCCCGCCTGGCCTGTCATTTGCTGGTTTCTTATTACTGGTCCCACAGTTTCCACGCCTTCTTTTCACACACCGCCCTTTTCGCCGTTCCCTGTCAACCTTCCTCTGACCCCGCTCCATCCCCTTCCCACTTCTCTATCGGCGGCCGTCACCGCCGCTGGGTGTGGCCCTCCGCACTCGCACTCGCACTCGCACTAGCTGCACAAGCAGACAACGGAGGCAGGCACTACGACGCCCGCTCGCGCGCTCCGTACCGGCGAATCCCCTCGCCAGGGTTCGAGGCCCAACGGGAGGACGAGGAGGCAAGAACCCTAGCCCCGGCGCCGGCGGGCCGTAAGGTGAGGCCTACGCGTGGCCATTTCCCCCCTCTGCTTGCGGTTCTTGGCGCATTCTTGGGCACGCGATCTCGTGGCGAAATGCGGGCTTTGAGGGGTTTCTGCGAGTGCGAGTAGGAGGTGGTCTTCCTGCTCATGTGGGGCGGGTTCTTGCCTTTCGCAGTTTTGGTATTTTACGGGCGTTACGACGGATTCCCGTAGGGTTTGATAGGGTTTTGGGGTTGCTGGCGTTTCTGGGTTTGTCCCGTGCGCGGCGGTTGGCAAGTTACTGAGATTTTCGGTCGGTTTGTCGCGCGTCTGATTGAGGGTTTGCAAATTTCAGCCCGATGGTTGGATTGGATCTTTCATGTGGGTGTTTAGGTGCCAAGGATCGTTTCTTTGGTCCAAGATTTTTATTTTACTAAAGCTATCTTAGTAACTACCAGCGCACATCGCAATTCTGTAGTTTTATGTGTTCTTTTTTCGAGATTGCCCACCACGTTTGTCAAATTTGGGGGGCCGGACTGTAGGGAAGGTGCTATATCTGGTATAGATTTTTGTGGCCATTTCTTTGTGCCTAAGATATTATCATATTGGTTATAAAGCACGCTGTTGTTAGTTTTACTGTGAATCTTGTAGCTCGATGTAAATAATTTGTGGATGCTTCAACATTAATCATAATAACTCATAACATTCGTAGATAACTCATAACATTCGTAGATAAGTTATTGGAGTAATAGACACATAGTACCACAAATGCAATATTTCTGTTTCCTTTCTTTCCCCTTCGGAGGGCAGGGTCGGTGAATGTCGCCAGCATCCTACCAGGATGTCGAATGATGATTCAGCAGAACAGGATATGAGCTTGTTGTATGTTTTTGTTCTTTTTTGTCGCTTATAGGCGAAAGCGACAAAGTGGAGTATTATTAGGTGTTGACATCTGTATGTGGATTTACTCTTTTATGTTTGTCAGATATATACAAGTTTTCTTATCATTTCTTGACTAATTATAAAGGTGTAATGCATTGTTGGGTTTTTAGGGGTGTCCTGTAGATGGTATAGTATTGCTAATTATGTTTATAGATTTACTTTTTTGTTTAAACTAGCTGCCGAAGTTATTGAGGTTGCATGCTAAATCTTTAATGTAATACGAGTGCCTCACAACCCTAAATAAACAATTGCCACTTCAATAAATCATGCCCAAACAGTATTGAGTAGGTTTAATAGTGTTTACTGTATAAAAAACTAGGAATATATCCAGCAGCCATAATTTTTTTCTGGGTTTAATGTTCTGAATAAATGCACCATACTGTCTGCTATAATAATAAATATTTCAGTTTCAAACTCCTTATTGGGAAACGGATCTGCTTGGGTGTGTAGTTTTTCTGCCTTGTACGTTGTGAAAAATACGTCTTGAGCCACGATAGACATACTGAGATTCACCCTAAATAATTGCAAATGTAAATAATCGTTATCTTTGTCCATGCAGATTGCTGAGCGAAAATGGGAGTGGCAGGTCACAGTGATCCATTGTTAGGTGAAACGACATGTGGGTCTTTGCTGCAGCAGCTTCAGGTGCTTTGCTAGTTTTGGGATAGTTCATATTGAAGTAAAAAAAATGTATTTTCCTTCTATTTATTCTTTTAAGATCTGTGCCTTGGAACAGTAGCAACATAAAACCATTCTAACCCATTATCCACATTAAGAGTTAAGATAGCATTTCTAAGGGTAGTATAGGATCAACAAGTGACTGATATGTGTTATTTCAGCTGATATGGGATGAGGTTGGTGAAAGCGATGAAGATCGCGACAAGATGTTACTTCAGCTAGAGCAGGAGTGCTTAGATGTTTATAGGAGAAAGGTTGATCAGGCTTCTACCTCTAGGTCACGTCTCCTCCAACAGCTTTCCAACTCCAAATCGGAACTGACTAGACTCCTCTCTGCATTAGGAGAGTCATCTATTTCTGGCATTGTAAGTATCTGAGAAAATGTATTTGTGAATGCAGTAAACATTTTCTTTAAAGCAGAATACTAGAACTTGTAGAACAAGTTTTGGGACACAGTAGACTGCAATGTGTAATTTATTCATTTATTGCTACAATATAGTACTGTGTAGATTTAAGTTTGTTATCCATTTATACTGGCTCCTGATTACCTATTTCATCAGTATTTAAGTATTTACCCAGTTGATAGATTTTTGCTCATGTTTCTTTTATGTTTTGATATATTATATGTTCAATTATGATGTCATTCCCCTAATACAGGGCTCATTTCTCTTTGCTTCTAATTTTTGCAGCCTGACAAGACATCTGGTACAATCAAGGAACAGCTAGCAGCTATATCACCATCTTTAGAAATACTCTGCAGGAAAAGAGAGAGTAGGGTGAAAGAGTTTGCTGATGTGCAACTTCAGATTCAGATACTTCGTGATGAAATCGCTGGGAATCTACATCTTGGTGAACACTTGGAAACACTCCATGTCAATGAGGATGATATTTCAGTGAGGAAATTAAATGAATATCTTTCTGAACTACAAGCCCTGCAAAAGGAAAAGGTTGGGCATAACACTTTCAAAATGACAGACAATATTCCTTTGATATAGCTGATGATCATCCTACTAGTATCTTTTTGGACTTCTAAAAATGAACCGACGTGAATGGTACTTCCTAATACTTTTCCCCATTGCAGAGTACTAGGCTCCGCAAGATTCTTGAATCTGTGAGTTCAGTGCATGATCTCTGTTCTGTACTTGGCATGGATTTTGTGGGTACTGTTACTAAAGTTCATCCAAGTCTTGATGACTCTGTTGGTGTTCAATCCAAGAGCATCAGTGATGAAACAATATCCAAGCTGTCTAAAATGGTGATTGTACTTCAAGAAGAAAAATCAAAGAGGTTTGCAAAGGTAAATATGTGCAATGAGCTTCTTGATCTTTATGATGCATCCCTTTTGAATCTGAGATATATTTGAAGGGCGGGCCTGGTGTAAGCGGTACAGTCTTACCGCCTGTGACCGGAAGGTCCCGGGTTCGAGTCGCGGTCTCCTCGCATTGCACAGGCGAGGGTAAGGCTTGCCACTGACACCCTTCCTCAGACCCCGCACAGAGCGCGCCCTTTTGTGGATACTATCTCTGCTTATCAATATCAATGTGCTTTCTCAGATTCAAGCCCTAGCTTCCCAGCTATCTGATCTTTGGAACTTAATGGATGCTCCTGTGGAGGAACGGCAACCTTTTCATCATGTCACATGCAATATGTCCTCAACATTGGATGATGTGACAGTTCCAGGAGCCCTGGCTCTTGATGTAATTCAGCAGGTTAAAAACTGCTTTCTTTTCAGAGTGTTCATTGGTCTTGTTAAATAGCATTCTGTTGTCTGTGTGTTAATAACTATCCTTGCACTTTCAAGGCTGAACTCGAAGTTGAAAGGCTTGATGAGCTAAAAGCTAGTAGGATTAAGGATATTGCATTCAAGAAACAGACCGAACTTGAAGATATGTATGCCCAGGCTCATGTTGCAATAGATTCTAGTGCTGCAAGAGATAGGATAATGTCTATTATTGAGTCCAGTAGTTTTGAGCCTTCAGAACTACTGGCTGACATGGAGAACCAGATACTTAAAGCAAATGAGGAGTCCTTAAGCAGAAAGGACATACTGGAGAGGGTCGATAGGTGGATGTCAGCATGTGAAGAAGAAAGCTGGCTTGAAGACTTTAGCCGGGTATTTAAAATTGATTCTGCTACTTATGCCGCTTATTCATTTTTGTGATTTGTGTCTCATGGAAGATGCCACTCCAACTTGCTTGGGACTAAAAGGCTTTGTTGTTGTTGTTGTTGTTGTGTCTCATGGAAGATGCCAAGCCGTAATTTGTCTCCTGTACATATTGCAATACTTGAAATTGCATTTTTTTTATATACTTTCCATTGCCTTCACTTGCTGTCCTATCACAAGGTCCGGACATTTATGCTTTCTTAATTGCAGGATGATAACAGGTACAGTGCAACTCGGGGTGCGCATCTGAATCTGAAGCGTGCAGAAAAGGCCCGTGTTTTGGTCAATAAAATTCCCGGTATGTTCTGAACATGAACAGGATGTACATGTACTTTACCTGCTGGTTATGCTTGCTCACATGACATTGGAATTTTGTAAGACAATGTTATTCATGGCTTGAGCTAACTTTTGATGTATTTGTCACGCTAGCTATTGTCGACACACTGGTTGCAAAGACCCGGGCATGGGAACAAGAGCAGGGCATGGCGTTCACCTACGACGGCGTTCCTCTTCTTGCAATGCTGGATGAATACAAAATCCTGAGGCAGGAGAAGGAAGACGAGAAGCGAAGAATGAGGGTATATATATTCTCAGTGCGCAAAGCCTGCTGCTTCCTGTGACTGGTTCATGAGCCACAATCTAATCTAATCACTTTATTACCTTTCATCAGGACCAGAAAAAGATGAATGATCAGCTGGCCGCTGAACAGGAGAAGCTGTTCGGGTCAAAGCCGAGCCCTGCACGGCCCCAGTCGTCCTCAAGGAAGGTGGCTGGCGCTCGGACCAACGGTGTCGGTGGTGCTGCCAATGGCACGCCAGTTCGCAGGCTGTCAGCCCTCCAGAGCGGCGGCAGGACCGCGAGCCGGGATGGGAGGAGGGATGCCAGCAGACCCGTGGCCCCGGTGAACTACGTGGCCATTGCCAAGGAAGATGCGGCCTCGCAGGCGTCCAGCAACTGAATTGGTTGGTAGTAACTCAGCTGTTGTGGCGGTGTTTTGTTTAGATACTAGAATACCAGTGCAGTGCAGTGCAGTAGTAAGAGCTATAGTACCTTTGCAGCCGGATTGGTGGAATGGTGGTGCAGTAGATCGGATGTACGTACTCGAGGTACAAACGGAGCTGGATATGGTATATCACATCATCAGTTATCACTCTGTGGTTGCTCCCTGTTGTGTGTGGCGAACTTGTTATCGTGTAATGTAGCCGTGACACTTTGCTCGTTGGAGACAGGAAATGCTGAGTTACAGCGACCGACATTTGATACGACGTGTTACGCTTGTAGCGAGGAACTTTACATGACCGACGCGACACAGACAGCAGATCGGAATCGTGCAATCTTTCAGACTGGTGCAAGCCCAAACAAATCGTCAGCTGCTCCAGGTAGCAGCGTTGCAAATCCTCCAAGTCTATGTACAGAGCAGGCCCGTCTCAGTAATCCGGGGAGGTTGGTAAGCGTCGTCGAAGCCGCCGGCGTCGAGTCAGTCCTTGTGCGGCGCTTGCTCCACTCGGTGGCGCCCTTCTTGCTCACCTGTGCGTTATCACAAATCAGCGGTACGGTCGGTGAAGAATAAGAATGGATCATCAGTACGTTACCTTGTGTGATCTTGCCTGGAAGCGGTGGTCCGACGCCGCCACCTGCTTCCGGCGCGGCAGGTTCCTCCGGGCGCCCTTGAGCCGGCTCTTGCCGCCCGGCGGCTTATGGCAGCTGAGCCTGCTCCGGGCACCAGCACCACCACCGAGGCTGGAGGAGCCGTCGAAGCTGACGACCGAGACGTCGTTGGAGCCGCAGCTCTCCTTCTCCTCGACGGCGAGGTCGTTGTTCCACCTCCTGACGACCACCACCCGCCGGTGCCCCGCCGCCGTGGCCGAGCCCGTGTCCGCGTTCCGGCTCATGCAGTCGTCCGCCGCGGGCTCCGCCTGCCGCGTCGCCATCCACCGCTCCAGCCAGCTCCACCCCACGTTGAACTCCCCCTGCTCCGCCCGCGCCGACCGCTTCTTACTATTGCCGCCGCCGCAGCTCCGGAGCTTGACAAGAATCACCAATTCACCACCAGCGCTCTCAGCGGTCAGCACATGCATCATGCACTTGTTCAGTTTCACGACACCGAGGCGTTGGCACGTACCTGCTGCGAGAACGCGTAGGTGAGTGCTCTCTCCCGCCGCGTCGTCGCCTCGATCCTGCTCTGGATTCGCATCCTCGACACGTTGGAGCTCACCGTGCTGTCGTCCCACTCCTCCTTGACTCGGAACGCTGGCGGCGGCGGCGGCGGGCGCGACCTCTGGCTGGACCGCTGCTGCACCGACGCGCTCTCCTCGCTTAGCCGGAGGTTGCTCAACGGCTCGCCTACCTGGACCAGCACCGACGTCGCAACGGACGCCCAGGTGGGGCTCCTGCTGGGCTCTTGCTGGGCGCCGTCGTCCATTTCTTGCTCTTGGCGCGTCCTCAGCTCCTGCAGCTGCCTCCTCGCCTGCATTCCAGTAAATTAGTTTAGTTTAGTTTAGTTTGTTTTTCTAGTAACGGAATTAGTTTAGTTTCAGAAACTAGCTAGAAATTCTTCACACCATGAAGCCTCTGAACGCAGACTGGATCAGCGTGGCCGCTCCCTCTTCTTCTCTGGCCGGCACGACGACGTGGCCGTGGTTCTGCTCGCCACCAGGGACCCTGCTTCGATCTTCTGCAGGCTCCCCAGGGTTGTTGTCGTCCACGGTGTTGTCCGCGTGGCTCGCCGGACGATGAGCCACCACCACCGGGATGACGTGCGCCTCCTCTGGCGGCAGCACGCAGCAGGTCTCGAAGCTCTTGACGGACACCGTCTCGCCGTCCTCCTCCTCTGCGGCCGCGTTCATCTCCTCGCCGCAGAGGTAGAGCCGTAGAGAGCTCCATCTCCTCCTGTGATCAGCAGCAGACCCCTTCTCCTGCGACGACCATGCTCACGCAAAGCGTCATCAGTCCAGTGACACACCAAACAAGCGATTGTATGTGTGAAGAGCGATCTTCGTATCTCGTACTAGTTACAACGAGCCCCGCGGAAACAATAAAGCAGCAAGAACAAGAAGTCACGAACACACATCTGCTGGTGTCGGCGACAGAGGGGGATCGGAGAAAGAGATCGTCTATAAGAGAAAAAGCACGTACACTGTGGCCACGGCTGCCGGTGCCGGCGGACGAGCATGGGCTCTTGGAGAAGACCCTCCGGACAATGCCGCCGGCGAGACCCATCTCTCCGCCCGGGCACCAACCTCGGGCGGGGCAGGGGCTGCGAAATCTTGCGAACTATCTATAGAGCAGGGCAGTGTAACCGTGCAATAAGCTAGCTAGCCGGTGACCCAGCCATGGGCAGAGCTGCTGCTGGCCTGCACTCACTCCACAGTACCACCCTTCTGGCTACGGCGTGAAGACCGTGCAGTGCAGCCGTCCTGCACCGCACTGGCTTCCCCTTATAGCAAGGTAGCAACAGGCCAACCGCCACGGGCAAAATGGCTAAAATCCAAGATGACATGCTTTGAGTGAGCAAGCAAAGCTCCCCAACTCCCCCTCACTGTCGAGATGTGCTTTGGTGCAATGCAATGCAGCTTTGGTGTAAAAGCGCACGCGTCTGATTGGTTGGATCCGTGCAGAAAATGGCCAGCACAGGCCGGCGCCTGGCAGAGCCAGCCGTGAGGCTTTAGAGCTGGAGGAGGCGAGGCGAGGGCATCTTGAACTACTGTTTGGAGTAACCTGCTAAAAAGCAACGCTCTGCTATGCTCACACAGTGATGCCCACCGTCAGGCTGTACTTGGCATCCGCTGTTGCTTCAGCTGATGGCCTAACAGACACTGTATGTAGTAGCAATCAATCTATTACCTTGGTAGAGAAAAAAAAGGTTAATAAGTACTGTATGTATCATGCAGATGCAGTTGCAGTTTGTTTACCTGTAAACATATCACCAACGAGGACGACGTAAATATCCTTCCAAACTCAAACCTTTCGGCATACGGCATACCACAATACAACAACTAGTGCTGAAAACCTCGGTGAGACAGTTTTCAGTCTTGAGTGAAACTGAAAGCTGTCTGTCGGCACGACCAGAAGCCCCTTTGGGGGCTTATAATCCGTACTTGTTTTTTCCCTTTGGGAACAGTGTTTTCGACTTGTTTTTTTCCAGCGAAACGAATGAGGCCTAAAGGCTCTACTAGTTCTAGACGCGCACCTCTCTCTCACTCTTTTTCACTGGGCTGTCACATGGCTTTGCTTGCTTCATCTGTCGGACGGACCTAGAGCCCGTTCGGCTGGCTTTAAGCCAGCTGGCTGACTGGTTCTCGCTCTCACGAAATCACTGTTCACGTCCTGTCAGAATAGTATTTTTCTCTCACAACAATCAGCCGAAACAGTATTTTTCAGTCCTGCTGAACAGGCCACTAATCCAATCCTGTTGTTGCTTGCGCCTGGGTGCAGGCACATTGCATTGCATCGGCCGGCCCTGGCCCTGCTGGTCCCCCTTCTCTTTTCTCTCTGTCTCTGTCTCTCTGCAACTGCAAGTGTAAGCATGCTACAGGTCCTCAACTCAAAAGGCACAAGAGCCAGCCAGCCAACCAGGCTAAATCCCGCACCGTCCGTCACCGGTGACCAGACTACGAGCCTAGCAGCATGGCCGTCGGCACAGAGCTCGGACCATCCTCCCGTTCTCCAGCAGCTAGCGGATGATGCAAACAGTTCAAGAGAGAGAGAGAGAGAGAGAGAGAGAGTCCACGGCAGTAATCACGTACGGAAGCCAGAGCAATCACAAATCACAGTACGAGCGAGCGATCGTCCCGGACCCGTACACAACAGATTAAGACGGCCAAGTACCTTCTTGGGCTGTTTGGGGGAAATGAGATCAGGATCAGCAGCATCAAACCAACTGCTGCATTCCACATAGGAGTACTATCATGGTAGATCAGGCGCCAGTGCTTAGCTCATCGAGGAATTTCATGCGCGCAAAAGGCCGTGAGCCCGTGATTGAAATGTGTTTTCCCCTGCTTTGCTGGGTCCGTGCACATGATTCCCATCATGGAGACTGGGATCACCACGCACGCTTCGGATGGACACCTGTCGACGTGCTAGACCTAGAAGAGCTTGTTTGTTACCAGCCACAAAGGCCTAAGCAAAGCTTCAGGACGAAAGAAAAATCAGAGGGTGCCACAGAAAAATCAGAGGGTGCCACGCAAGTGCAAGATGTGCAAACAAGTTGTGATACATGATTCACGTAATTGCCCAAATAGAGCACCACAATAATGATACAAGGTAAATGACCATATAATTATCGAACAATCAACTTTGACTTGATACAAGTCGAAAATTTTCGATAACATGCTGAAGATAATATTTATAAGGTCATTTTTGTGGTCACTGCAGATGCAGTATACAGTACTGTATACTTACTATTTTTTATGGTTCTTTCACCGTCACATTTTTGTAGTTGCAGTTAGATGCATTTTGTATGGGCTTGTGTTTACAAGAGCACATTCAGAGATTACCATCCTCGGCTTGATTATGGAGATATCTATTAGTTGAATGATAGCTAAGACTCTTAATGAAAATCTTTATTTAGGCATGGCAGCTTGGAATGCAGGAACAACTTGGAAAATTTTAGCTCTATGCTCATTGTCAAATGTGTCGCACTCTTCATTTTAATATATGACCTTAGTTCTGGTATTTATTTCAATTATTTTCTCTAGCAGCTTTCTGATCTACCATGTTTAGCTGTCAAATGTGTTTTTGTGAATACAATAGTACTGATGTTGCTAAACTATGACCTCCAGGAATCTTACAAAGAACTCAGGAGGGCCTGTCTATGTCGCTGTGTGTGAAGAACTTACTAGGCGAAGCTACTGCCCAAATTCTGAAATCCACACCTCCTATGCCTGTTGTCTTACTCTGTAACTCATACACATGGCTGAAAATTAGTCTTTAGTTATTAATCCATTTCAGAACTAGTGG